TATATGTATGTAAGATAGATAGATAGATAGATAGATAAATAGATAGATAGATATTTTATATATATGTATCCATGTATCTGTATATATATATTATATAATATACATGTGTATAAATTTAAAATATATATATATATTTATATATATATATATATATATATATATATATATATATATGTTCAATATTTATATAATGTTCGAGATATATACATATATATATATATCGATAGATATAAATATTTGAGATTTATAGACATATATAAATAAAAATTCATATATATACATATACATACACAGACAAATATATAGGTGCACGACACACACAATTACACATATGTATATATATATATATATATATATTCGATATGTTGTGTATATATATATATATATATATATATAATATGTCCTATAAATATATATATAAACTGTGTGTATATATATATATATATATATATATATATATATATATATATATATATATATATATATATATGTATATATATATTTTTTCAATATTCAATTACAGAATTAAATTTCAAAAATGTATATATTTATATATCTCTAAATAGAGGTACATCTGCAGATTCCATTCTCTAAAGTTTTCTGTTTTCTTTATCTCATAAATAAAATATTTTGTAAATGTAATTATATAAATTTTTGAATACATTTCTCAATGTTAAAATATTTTTTGACACTTCTGTAAACGTTTTCTAAAACCTTAAAATTTGTTTTTTTGTTTTTTTTTTTTTTTGGTTTTTAAAATGGGCAGACATAAACTTCGTATACAGTCGATTCTGGTTAATTGAGACATTGCTTGGTTACAGAAAAAGCTTAAAAAGTAAACGAATCTAATAATATATGTTACAACATGGCTTTCGCAGTTGCACGACTAATCCGTTTAATCGTGCCAGTGTGCACAAAGAAAAAGAACATTTTATTTTGTCAGCGTTGATTTACTCTCCGGTCCGTCTGGCAATATCTCTCGTAAGCAGTCTTTTAGGGTTTAGCTAGAATTAATCTAAAATATAAAATTCTGTGACTTCCGTTACTCTGTCCGTCTGTCACACGGTCTAAAATAGCCATATACTGACGGATCGAAACTAAAGTTTGGGGAGAAGTGCAAACATATAACGGAGTACAAAGTACAGTTCCTTTTACTTCTTTTATGTGCCGTCTCCCTTCAGGACGTAGGCGATCATGGTCCTCCACTTTTTCCTAACCCTTGTAGCTCTAAATAAGTTTTGTCTTTTCTCCAAGACCCCGTTCCACCATCCACTTGCTGAATCCCATTAAGTATGTCACGCATTGCATTCCCCTGTTCCACTTTCCCTCTATCCGCCCCGTGAGTATCAGATTTGCCAAGCCCTTCTTTCCTCATTACGTGTCCCAGAAATTTAATCTGCTTCTTCCTGGTGTTAAAAAGTAATAAGTTTAAAAATGTTTTTAAAACTCCAATTCAAAACCTCGTCCTTGCTCATAAAATTTAATTCCATGGTATGGTGCGTAAATGAAAATAAAGTAGGGTTTTTTTTTTTTAAAAGTATTTTTCCAAACAAATCAGCTTATTCAAATTTCATCGATTGGTTTCGAAATTGAACATTACATAGAGTTTGTAAATGTCGACAAAAAAAACAAAAAATCTGACTGGGGCAGGAAAAAAATTAACTTTAATGCCTTTTTGTAAAAACTGCTCTCTGTTACTTAATTTTCACCATCCCTGCCTCCCATTAGAATGTTTGACGCTCAAAACCACGAAGCATCTCTTTGCGACTGCTCGGTCTCACATTATCTGCTGACCTGAGATGGAACAGTTACATTGAGTCAATAGCTTCGTCCACCGCAAGAAAATTTGGCTCCCTGTGCTAAACGAAATTTTTTTCTCGAATTCGATCAAATCTATCAAATCAACCATTCGCCCTTGCATGGGGTATTACTGCCATATATGGTCTGGATCCCCTTCTGTTTGTCTCAAGGTCCTTGATAAAATCCAAAGACGGATATGCAATGTAATTGGCCCTGATCTGGCATCTCGTCTGCAGTCGCTCTCTCACAGCCATGCCGTTGTCTCTCTGTCTTTTTTACAAATACTTTCACGGTAACTGCTCCGGTGAGATGCTTTCGCTGGTTCCCAGACTTCATGAATTTAAGCGTTCAACTAGGCTGGCATCTCGCTCTCACCCTTTCACTGTCGAAACTGTTAAATGTAGCCGTCTCTTCTACTCCAATAGCTTCATGGCTCGCACTTCTTGCTTGTGGAACTCTCTCCCCATTTCTTATTTCCCTGATAGCTATAATCTCCAACTATTCAAATGTAATGTCAATCGACGTCTCCAGATGCCTTGATCTATCCCCTATCCTTCTCTTCATCCTTTCCTCTGTCACTCCTATTTGCTCTCGCTCCAACTCTCTGTAACCCCTTGCATACTAATGGATTCCCACCTTGCTTGGGGTGGAATTGCTTAAAAAAACTTTGAATGTTTATTATTATTATTTGTAAACTGTAAGAATACAGTAAGCATAGTAATCAGCAGAAGAACAAGCTCAGGATGCCATTCTAATATACCGTAATATATATCCCCATATATAATACGCATTTTTTCTAAAAAAATAATAAGTAAAGTCAAGGGTGCGCATTATGTATTATTGATTTCAGTCATTTTTTAAAATATTTATATTACTGTGTTCTTACTTTAAATATTACGTCTTCTCCAGAGTCTTTGCATTCTGGAATCGACTCCCAGACTTCTTCAAGACTAGGTTCAATCATTATCTATCATACATAATTTGAACCACTTGCTCCCTGTTTGTACTCTCTTACACAAACTTCATTAAGTAACATTCTAACTTGAGTGGTTCTTGAGCCTTGTACTGCGTGAACAACAATAAAAAGAAACTTACAGTGATATAGGCAGGAGAAGACGGAAACAAGAGAGAGTAAAAGGCTTTGAAGTATTTTTAGAAGTTCCTTCATTGGAACAGCGAATTATGCCTTCCAAAGCAATTTGTTAAAAACAAAGAAAAGAGTACTGAACTGTTACGTAATATCAGTTCTCCTACGGCTTGGATTGAGGAAACGGAAAGCCCGAGTTCGAATTCCAGTCGAATCCATTGCATTCACTTACGTGCTAATACCCTTGGGAAAGGTATGAATTCTCTTCTTCTCCTTCAGCTATGCGTAAATAACAGGACAGACCGGTTTCTATAGCCTTTGATGGTAACTGGTCTACCGCAGAAAGAAATGGCAACCTAAATCTGGAAAAAAATGCCCCGTCAAATATGTATCGAAAGATACTCGATCACCTAATTTGTTCTAACGCATAAAATAACTGATTGACTATTTGACTATATAATAGTTTATGCTGGACAATCCCCTCAAAGGTAAAGAAGAGTTTTTTTGCAACAAAATGTGGTTCTACAGAAAGATGCTGAAAATACTATGGCTCAAACATGGCATCGACGAAGTGGGAATGAAATAGAAAGAAAAAAGACAAGGGTGCATAATGAGGAAATAAGGCTTTGGAAAACTTGAAGGGAAAAGGGACAAAATTTATAAAGAGCTACAAAAGAAAGGAAATTGTGGAAAGCCATGATCCTTAACATTCTTAAGAGACACGGCACAAGAAGAAGAAGAAGAAGAATTAACAGGAGATAACTGATAACTGACATCCATTAAACATGGCACGTGGAACTAGAACAGTCTACCCAAAAATGCTTATAAAGGGTTCAGTTCGACATTTTCTTACACCTGAAAGATTAGGCCGGAAAATATACAACGGCCGAAACGTTGTAATAAATATGGCGACAAAATGAGGACAATAGTCCGATTAATGTAAATAGTATAAATAAGAAGAATAAATGTTGCAATAAAGATGATATAAAGGGTGTTCGAATAACTTGGACCGATTTTAATGTGAATTAAATTTAAGCGTCTATTGATTTTTTCTTTTTCTCTCAGATTTGGCGGACATTTGGGCGATATTATTTTTCACACATAATTGCCTTGACTTAGAGAACATGATCCAATAGAGAAATAAATAAATTTACACCAAGAACACTGATTTATTTACTGTCGACTTTGATTCGTCTTAATGAAACACCCTTATATAGAATCCGTCTTAATGAAACACCCTTTATAAAAGATGAATAATTATCAATGAAAGCGATATTTATGGCCAGAGTAATATCAGAAAGACCAATGCAAATGCAGAAGGGCGTACCTGTATTCTTCATAGATTACGAAAGCGCAGTATGATTGTTTCTTTCGTCACAAAGAACTGTTGGAACTGATAGGTAAGCTTGAGATATTTGAGAAGGATATAAGAATAATCCAGAACCGATATTGGCAGCAAATCACATGCACTCGGATAAAAATGAATTTGCAAATATATATATATATATATATATATATATATATATATATATATATATATATATATATGTTGAAACTTGACTAATGCATGGAATAATAATGCAACACAAAATGTACTTAGAACAAAATGTATTGAAACAAGAAAGTGTACACAATATTTGCATATAGTCTAATTTATATTCCTGGTAAGCCCGTTCCTGGAGAATGTGTTGACTGAGTCGCAGTCGGGCAGAGTCTCTGATTGAATCTCTTGATTCCTTCCTTTCTTCCCGGTACCAACCATATTTATATGGTCGGTACTCCACTATGCAAATTAGGTGGATCCTACCACAACAATATATATATATATATATATAAAGTGTAAGACAAGGATGTGACTTCTCACCGGACTTATTTAACATATTTGGATGCGATTCAGAGAAATTAAAGTCCAATCCATTCAGTATTTCGCCCTCAATCTTGGATAACGTATTTTCATAAGATAACACAATGTTGATAGCAGTCACGGAAAAGAGACTACAATATCTCATTCTGAAGGTAATGAATGAAAGCGAGAAGAAAGGACTAAACATCCATTGCAAGAACACAGAATATATATTGAAATATTCTTCGATAGTAACTTACTAAGAACGCCATGACACTCTTTTCTTCTCTCTTCTTCTTCCACTGTTTTTATTCTCTCTCTCTCTCTCTCTTCTCTTCTCTTCTCTTTCTTTCTCTCGCTCTCCCTCTCTCGTGTTTTCTTTATTTTATTCGCTAGTTTCTGTTCATTTTTTAGCATTTAATATACCCTATTTTAAAAAGATCTCTTTTATTTCCCCCCTTTTGGATTTGTATATCTTTTTGCCATAAATAAGCATGTAAATTATATGTTTTGGTCAAATCTTGACTTGAAGCTAAGTATATGAATCAAGACCTCTTACAGAGGTAGTGAAGGAGAGCGAGAAGAAAAGTACTAAACATCAATTGCAAGAAGACAGAATATATATTGAAATAGTCTTCGATAAGAACTTACTAAGAACGCCATGGCACTCTTTTTTTCTTTCTCTTTCCACTGTCTCTCTCTCTCTCTCTCTCTCTCTTTCTCCACTTCTTTTCCCTCTATCTCTCGCTCTCTCTCTCTCTCTCTCTCTCTCTCTCTCCCCTACTGTATTTGTGATAGCTTCCCATAAACAAGCATGTGCCTCATGTTTTGGTCAACTCTTGACTTGGAACTAAGTATAAACTTCAAGAATATATCTTATTGAAGGTATCATTAGAAAAATTAAAGCATCAACTGCAAGAAGACAAGAGTGCATGGCTGTTAGCAAAAGGAACAGACCAGCATGCAAATTACAGATTGGAGATACCAAAATCAAACAAATATTTGGGAAGTATTTTAACAGAGGACGGGAAGTCCGACACTGAAATCCGATGACGCAATGATATAGCGAATTATCGATTTAGAAATAAAAAAAAAGTTCGTTAGAAACAAAAAAAAAAAAAAAGAAGAGATTTGAAGCAACAGAAATGTGGTTCTATAGAAAGACGCTGGCAATGCAATGGCTTGAACATGTGAGCAACGACGAAGCTTTTGAGAAAATGGAAACAAAAAAGAACACTTATACGTACCATCAGAAAAAGTACAGTTGAAATTTCTAGGGTAAATAATGAAGAAATATGGCTTGAAAAATTTGATACTCACAGAACAGATTGAAGACAAGACGGACAAAGAAAAACAACGCAAGGTTTGGAAGAGATAACAACAGGACAAAATTTATAAAGAGCTACAAAAGACAGGAAATTGTGATGTCAGCAAACATTCGTTTGACACTTTTGTAATGTCAACGAATACTCGTTGTCACTTTCATAATGCTCGTTGTAGTAGACTTTGGAATCGCATATACAACTATAGTAACGCCCTTGAACAATACTGGCGTCAGACGCCTTTGAATAACACTTCGAATAGTACTTGCTTGATAATACGCCCTCGAATAATAATCCGTATAGAGAAAAAGTATAGTAAATACAGTAGAAAATAGCAGTCCATATAATAATAGAGGATAGACTAGAAATAGCGATCCGAGTAGTAATCGATGATAGTCTAGAAATGGAGATCAATTGGACGTCACTCGAGTTCCTACTTATGCGTTTCCTCTGTGGTCACGTGGTCTACTTAATTCAATAATGGGATCGCCTATGTTTGCTCACTGGCGATCTATGTTCAAGCTCAAGTGTCAGCAGCGATACCTTATTTCTATATAACAATCATGCCCCCCCCCAAACTCCAAGAAGGGACAGGCTCAAGAAGAAGAAAAAAAAGAAAAATATTGAATATTCATGAAAATAAAGACGAGATAAACAGATGCTTTACGCATTTCGTGTTTTATTAATAAAATCATCTCAACATTGGCAAATCCGAAGGTGAATCAATATTTCCATAGCCTGGCAAAAAAATCGTAACTTCTCAATATGGAAAATTGATTGTACATATTTTTTTTATCTATATGAGCCACATTCCCCACTGAATTAAGTGCATTGACAAAGATGATTATACTGAAAAATAAATATTTGTTGTACAAAATAAACGCATTTTTCATCATTCACTGATATGCCTACAAATAAATAAATATGTACATATATATATTATAAATATAAATCCTTATATATATATATATATATGTGTGTGTGTGTGTGTGTGTGTGTGTGTAAAACGTGGTTTGTGGGTGGTCTCGTCTTTCTTGATCAGTACAATGCACTAAAGCAAATATCTCGTTTGAACAGTTTTAACTTTAAGTATTATACTTCCTCCCTCAAAACTTATCGTATCATATGATGTGCTTTCAAGTTGAGAAGCATATATATATATATATATATGACTGTCTTTATTTTTCTGCCCATTTCTCTCTCTCTCTCTCTCTCTCTCTCTCTCTCTATCTATCTATCTATCTCTCTCTCTCTCTCTCTTGCGTTTTTTAAACTTTCTTTTTGTTATTATCTGTTAACATCTCATGCGCCCCCGACTGTTCCACCATTTTTTTCTTTCATCTTTCAATATAAAAGATCACTTTCCGTTCACAAATGTCTTTCTATTTTCTTTCATTATTTTTATAATTTAATCTCCTTTCTATCTACCTTTAACGCAATGGTTAGCATGCTTTTCTGGTTTAACATTACTACTGACTGGTGAGTTCGAGTCTCACTGGGTGGCCCACATTTGTACCAAAACTATGCGAAACTTAGCAAACAGCGACATGATCTTTCAATTTTTTTGTCCGTTCCTTTTGAAGTTAACCAGCCTTCACTTAGTGTGGAACAAGGCAACAAATATGGCACACCAGGTGTGGACCAAATTCACTTCAGTAGTAACGATAGGTTTTTGAGAACACCTACATAAAAAGGTGGTTTAATATTTTTAATATTTTTTTCTTCCACTGTTTTTGGATTTCTCTCTCTCTCTCTCTCTCTCTCTCTCTCTCTCTCTTTTTTAACACTCTTGTTTCCGTTATTTTTTTCCTTCTTTTTTTTCGCCTTGGAATAAAATGATGTCTTCCAAAAGCTAAGCAAAGTATTAAGAAACAGAAAAATTCGTTAGAAATGAAGAGTACTGAACTTATACGTAATATATGGCAGTGAATGATGGACCATCTCCTCGCAGATGAAGAAGAAACTTGCATCCACAGATACGTAGTTCTACAGAAGGATACTGAGAATACCGTGGACCGAGAAAATGGAAACAAAAAGGACACTTATACTAAACATCAAGAAGAGGCAATTGAATTTTCTACATAACATAATGAGGAAAGAGGGTTTGGAAAATGTGATACTCACAAGAAAGATTGAAGGCAAGGGAGACAGAGGAAAACAGTGCATAACTTACCCAGCGAACTTGAGTAAATGGATGGTGGATCAAGGTTTCAGAGGAATAACAAAAGGAAAAAAATATTAAGAGCTACAAAGGACAGGAAATTGTGGAGAGCCATGATCGCCAAAGTCATAAAGGGACGCGGCACATGGAAGAAAAAGGGTCTATTAAACAGAAAATAAATTTAAATATTGCTGACTTTAAATGATTAGTAGAATACTTTAATTGAAATTAGGAACTTTAATCATAAATTTTCGTATTCCTTTTGCTTTTTTTTTTTTTTTGGTTACTTAGTCCACATTGAAGTCTTTTGTAAAGTTACTTAAGATTTACCGTAATTCACCGTGTATAATAACGCATTTTTTTTATAAAAAGTAATTTGAAAATCAAACAAGAATGCGTATAAATTACAACTAAAAAAATCTTTAAAAAATTGCCGTAAAATAAGAATTATGATAAAATTAAATTAAAATATTATTCTATTTTTAAAACCATTTTTTAAAAAAGAGTAGGAAACGCTGGCCGTAATGAAATTGGAGAGGTACAATTTATAGAGTTTGATTACCAAACAAGGGGTGCGTATTATGCGTGAGTAGAAGCGTATTCCCACAATTTCAGCACACTTTTAGAGGTGCGTATCATGGATGAAGGCGTATTATACATGGGGAATTACGGTAGTCAAATCTAAGTACAATTACTTCGAAACGAGTTTTTCTTTATAAAAACTGTGTAATCATAAAATTATCATATATTTAAAGTGAGAATTCCCATATCGCTTCAGCAATAAAGTAAGCCAAGCGCCATATTTATCGTATATGAAAAGCATTTCAAGAAAATGCCGCCAAATCTCCGATTGTATTCTACAAACAGACGCTAGGTGGACATTAAGTTCCAAGCATCAAACGTAGAATATTTAACTCCCCTCAAAGACACGTGGCCCAGTGGATAAAAGCGTTGGTTAAAGTAATTCAGTGACTTAACCAAAAAAGATGTCAGTTCAGTAACTGGCCACAGCAAAGTTGAACAAAAACTCGGAAAGTCGAGTTACTAAAGGGAATCAACGGAAATATCCAGGAAAGGCATGGCACGTGGAAATAGAACAATCTACCCCCGGGGACTAAATAAAGGGTTCGTTCGACATTCCAATGTATATCACCAGAAGAAGGCCGGAGTGTACAACGGCCAAAACGTCGTGAATATGACAATAAAGATGAGAGCACTCCGAACAATGTAGATAGTGTAAATAGTTACAATATCTCAATTCGGAATTATAGATAGTTGTTAATATTTATTACTTTTTTTAATCATTAAGCAAGGCAATAAAGCCACTAAGTCGCAAGGGGTTACTGAATATGGAAGAATAAACGAAAAAGAAAAACATTAGTAGGAAGAGAGAAGAATAAAAGATCAGAAATTAGGAAGACAAAAAATAATATTTAAATTTTTGAAGATCAAAGTTGACTACAAAAGCAAGAAGCCGGAAAAGAGTTCCAAAAGCGAGAAATGCGAGAAAAGAAATTGTTAGCACAGAACTTACGGTTACACCTTGCAATTACATCTGTAAAATAATGAGACCTAGCTGCCAATCTAGTATTGCGCTTAAATTCGTAAAGTCGATGTGCCTAAGAGGAAAGTTCATCACAATAATTAGCATGAAAGTATTTATTGAAAAGACAGAATAAAGTACCTTACGGTGATGCTATCATGACCGATAAAATCACGTATCTTTTGTATTTCCAAAGCAATATTCAATTATTGGAAATTATATATATATATATATATATATATATATATATATATATATTTATATATATATATATTATAAATTATTTAAAGTAAATTTTCTGTTTATAATAAACAATATTAAACAACATTTAATCTTCCATTGTTTTAATTTTTTCAGAAAATATTTTTCCACTATACAGAACCTGTCGGAGGACGAATATTTTTTCTTTCTATTTCTCGACATTCAGGCCGGTAAATGTTGAAAAAATATTGTTTATTATAAACAAAGCATTTATTAAATCTTTATCTATAAAAAATGTATAAACAAATATATATATATATATATATATATATATATATATATATATGATAAATTATAGCTAGAAACTCTAACGCCAGACAGTGAAACAATTTTTCCAGTAACGGACCAATTACTATTTTATTACTGTATATTTTTTACGAGTTTTTCACTCTGGGTTCAGGCAGTTTTGACTTTAGAAGAATTGTCGGAAATAGTTTCCGCCGAGACTCGAACTCGTATTTCACGTCTTGGGAGTTTATTCCTGAGGAACAGAGCCTTCATTACTTTAGCCAAAGAAATCTCAATGATTTAGTGGGCCAAACACCTAAAGAAATTCTATTATCAGTTCCTCTCCAATTTTCTCCGCCATCTTTTATTTTCTAGCTTGAGTTAATTTAGAGCGGTCTGATGAAAATGGAGTAAAGTTAGTAATAATATATTATTAATGAAGAGTATATCAACCAAAATTGTTGTCATAAAAAGCAATACTAATAAAATTGGGTGAAACTAGTAGTAAATTAATAATAATAATAATAATAATAATAATAATAATAATAATAAATATTATATCGATCTACATTGTGTTGACAAAGGTAAAAGGTCAAGATACTAACGGATAAAAATCAAGCGAACAAAAGCCCAGTGGACACAATGCCAACCTTTTATCCCATAAGTGGACAAATCACAGTCTTATAAATAGAAGTCTCATATTTTTTTAATCCTATTACCTCATGCAAGGACATAAAGCCACTAACACACAAGGAGTTTCTGAGTGTAAAAGAATAAGAAAACAGAAAAATATTAAGAAACAGGAACAATAGAAGAGTATTCAAGAAGACAATAGATAACGATTGGCATTAGATTTAAATTTTTGACGATTAAAAATGGCTGGAAATCATGGAACCGGAAGAGAGTTCCACATGCGAGAAGTGTGAAAAAATTAGTATATAACGCATGTTTGCATCTTCTCGCTTGTGGAACTCTCTTCTTCTTGACTTCCGGTCAATTTTGATCTTCAAAAATCTAAATATTATCTTTTGTCTTCGTAATTTCTGCTTTTTTATTCTTCTTTCCTCGTACTAATGTTTTTCTTTTTCTTTTATTCATTCATACTCAGTAACCCCTTGCGACTTAGTGGCTTTATTGCCTTGCTTAGTGTGAAATGATTTTAAAAAAGGGTAATAAGTATTAACAAGTGTCTATAATTTCGAGATGAGGCATTGTAACTATTTGCCCTGTTCGGGGTGTTTTCCTCATCTTTATTGTAATATTTACGACGTTTCGGTCGTTGTTCTCTCTGGCCTTCTTCAGGATCTGTCTATATTTCCAAGATGAGGGATTGTAACTATTTATACTATTTACGTTGTTCGGAGTGTTGTTCTCATCTTTATTGTCATATTTACGACGTTTCGGCCGTTATACGCTCCGGCCTTCATCAGGTGATATACGTTGGAATTTCGAACCGAACCCCTTATACACTCCACGCGGGTAGGTTGTTCTATTTCCACGTGCCATACCTTTCCTGGATAGTAACTTACCGCCAATCTAGTACTGCGCTTAAATTCATAAAGTCTAGGTACCATAGCGAAGAGTCCATTCGAACAGTTACCATGAACGGTTTTTATAGAAAAGGTACAGGGAAGCTACATTAGGACAGTGAGAAAGTGATTGAAACCAAGATGCCAGGTCAGAACCAATAAAATTGCTGATTCTACTTTGGATTTTTATCAAGAATCTCTAAATATATAGCAACAAGCACCAAACCATATGTGGCAGCAATATATATAAAAAGTGAGAAATTTAACATTGAAAATCCAAGGAACCTAATTCAAATTTTAATGTCAATTTGAGATAATAATAAAAATATAAAAACTATGTTTATATAAATGGAGCCTAAATTGGTGAGCACGAAATAAGCGTATATATTGAATATTGTGTTGTCTAAATTTCCTTTGTGGCCGATCGGTAAGGCACGTCAGCGTAAATAACGGTTCCGTATAGGATGCAGGTTCGAATCCTGTCAAAGGACGAATATTTTCTATGAAAATTTCTCGGACATTCAGGCCGGTAAATGTCGTTAATACTGTTTATTATAAACAGAGCATTTACTTAAATACTTGTATCTATAAAAAAGAACGTTAAACATAAAAATGTCTTTAATAAATAAATTGTCGGACTTTGTTCGTTTCTTAAAATATTGAATACTGTATATATATGTGTATATATTGAATATCGTATTTATAAGTATATATATTGGATATTGTACATATAATTGTATATATTGAATATTGTGTTTATTGTCTGAATTTGACATTGGAGTGTATATATTGGATATCATACATATGTGTATATATTGGATATTGTACATATCAGTGTACATATTGGATATTGTACATATAAGTGTATATATTGGATATTGTACATATAAGTGTACATATTGGATATTGTACATATAAGTGTATATATTTGATATCGTACATATAAGTGTACATATTGGATATTGTACAAATAAGTGTATATATTGGTTATTACTACTAATATTGTCTCAATTGGGCATTAAGATTTTAATTAATTTTCTTTGAATTTTCAATGTTAAATTTGTTTCTTTTTATATAAGAAACTTTTATTTACGAGACTGGGGTTTTGTTCACATCTGGTATAAGAGGCTGTATTTTTTTGGGTTTTTTGTCTGATGGGCTTTTGTCCACTTAATCTTTGCCATGGATTCGTTGACAAAATGCATAAAGGAGATAGGGTAAAGCTAGTAATAAAATAATAAAAATCAACAAGAATTTCATTTGAAAATTAAAACAATTTAAATGCACGATTTTTCGCTAAAAAATAATCTATTTCTTTTTTAGTATTTATTCAAGTCATTGAGGACAGACTATTATGGTGAAAGAATTTTTTGCTAACAGGAGAATACCTTTAAAACCTGAAACTGTCGCCCCGACCCCACACTATTTCTTCGTATCGAATTTCAATCTAACAAAGCTATTACAACTGGGTCCAATTCATTTTTCCCTCAAACTTCAAAATTCGACTCATGCCCATAGAACACAAAAATAAGAAAATGGAAGATTATATAACTTGATAGTTTTTTTTTCTTTCTTTCTTTCTTTCTTTCTTTTTATTTTTTTAATTTTAATTTTACTTTCTCTTTCTCTTCATCTGTTTCGTTTTTCATTTCTTTATTTATTTCTTATTCAGACTTTATTTTCATTTTTTCTTATTTTCATTGTATCTTCACTTTCTCTTTCCTTATTCCTTTCATACTTGCTTTCATTTTCTTTCCTTCTTTGGCTTAAACTTGAATTATGTTTTCATTTCATTATTTTAATTTTTTCTTTCTTTCTTATTCAAATGCTATTTTAATTTAGTTTTTTTTTTTTTCCTTTTCTTCAGTTTTTATTCGATTCCTTCCTTTTACTCATTGATTTTTTATTTCTTTTATTTTTATCTTCATTTTTCTTTCTTTCTTTCTTAAGTCTCCGTTTACGGTTTTATTCTTTTAACTTTCTTTCTTTTTGATTTCTTTTTTTTTTTCTTTTTTTTTTCTTTCTTTCGTTTGTTTCAATTCCAAGTCTCCGTTTATGTTTTATTCTTTTAAATTTCTTTCTTTCTTTCAATCTTTTTTTCTTTCTTTCTTTCTCTTTTTCGTTTGTTCGGATTCCAAGTCTGCGTTTACGGTTTTATTCTTTTTTTAAATTTCTTTCTTTCTTTATTTATTTCTTTCATCTTGTTCGATTCCAAGTCTCCGTTTACGGTTTTTTCTTTTTTCTTTCTTTCTTTCTTTCTTTCTTTCTTTCTTTCTTTAATTTATTTTTTTTTTTCGTTTGTTCGAATTCCAAGTCTTTTAAAAGACACGGTTTTATTCTTTTAACTTTTTTCTTTCTTTCTTTTTTCTTTTTTCTTTCTTTCTTTCTTTCGTTTGTTCGGATTCCAAGTCTCCGTTTACGGTTTTATTCTTTTAACTTTCTTTCTTTCTTTCTTTCTTTCTTTCTTTCTTTCTTTCTTTCTTTCGTTTGTTCGGATTCCAAGTCTGCGTTTACGGTTTTATTCTTTTAACTTTCTTTCTTTCTTTCTTTCTTTAAATTATTTCTTTTCTTTCGTTTTTTCGGATTCCAAGTCTCCGTTTACGGTTTTATTCTTTTCAATTCATTTTCTTTCTTTCTTTCTTTCTTTTAATCTTTCTTTCATTTGTTTAATTCCAAGTCTCCGTTTACGGTTTTATTTTTTTTCTCTTTCTTTTTTTTTTTTTTCTAAAAATGTCATTAAAATTCTTTCTTTAATTCTTTTCGTTTGTTCGGATTCCAAGTCTCCGTTTACGGTTTTATTCTTTTTAAACTATATTCTTTCTTTTTTAATTCTTTTTTTTTTTTCCAAAATGGATTCCAAGTCTCCGTTTACGGTTTTATTCTTTTAACTTTCTTTCTTTCCTTCTTTTCTCTGTTTTATTCCTTTTTTCTTTCTCTGATTTATTCTTTCTGTCTTCTATTCTTTCTTTCTTTCTTTCTTTTAGATACTTTTAAATGCTCCTGACAACTAATTTCTGACCATTTGTGACCATTTGGGATACTTTTGAACGACCAACACTACTGAAGTCTTCCATTTCCGACTATCTTGCATACTTTAGAAAGCCCCTCCGCTACTAAAATTAGAAGTTGTTGCGACTGCTTGGGAAGCTTTACAAAGATCAGCGTTACTAACTTTTGAATTCCACTATTTTCGCATATTTAGGATATTTTTGAAAGGACACCGATACTAAACAGAGAATTTCGCTACTTAGAACTACTTTGGATACTTTTGAAAGATCAACGTTGCTACGTGTTGAATTCTTCTATTTTCGACTGTTTGCAAAGACCTACTAAATATTGAATTCCGTAAATTACGACTATTATGAATACTTTTGATAGCACACTGCTACAAAAACTTGAAATCCTCTATTTCCGAATTTTTTGTATACTTTTGAAAGATTGGCGCTAATTAATTTTGAATTTCTCTTTTCTTTCTTTCTTTTTTTCTATCTTTCTTTCTCTCTTTCCTTCTTTCTTTTTTTCTTTCTGTCGTTCGTTCTTTCTTTCGAGCCCAAAATTCCGTTTTTTCATTTTAAACTTTTTATATTTTTCCTTCTTTCTTTTCCATTTCTTTTTTTTTCTTTTCTTTTTTTTTTTCTAAACCATTCTTTCTTTTTCTTTTTTTTCTTTCGTTTCTTCTTTTAAAAAAATCTTTTTCATTTTCCTCCTTTTCTTTCTTTCGTTCTTCTCTTTCATTTCATTCTTTTTCATCTAACTTTTCTTTCATTCCTCTTTTTTTCCTTCGTTCTCTCTTTCTGTCTTTTTTCTTTTTTTTTCTTCTTTCTTTTCTTTTTTAACAAAATTTTTTTTTCGTTTTTTTCTTTCTTTCCTTCCTTCTTTGTCTTTTTTTTCTTTCCTTCTCTAAAAAATCTTTCTTTCCTTCTCTTTCTTTTCTTTTTAATTCTTCTTTTTTTTTTTTTGTTTTCTTTCTTTCCTTCTTTCTTTTCTTTTTTTTTTTCTTTCTTTTTTTCTTTCCTTCCTTCATCCTTTTATTCCTTCTTTCTTTTTTTTCTTTTCTTTCCTATTTTCTTTGCTCTCTTCTTTCTTTTTTTTTCTGTTTTCATCTTCCCTTCCTTCCTTATATTCTTTCTTTCTTTTAAGAATAGAATAATATTTCTCTGTTCTTTTTTTTCAATATTTTTTTTTCTTTCTTTCTTTCTTTTCTTTCTTTCTTTCCTTCCGCTTTTCTTTCTCTATTTTCTTCTTTTGTTGAATTTTCTTTTCTTTTTTTTTTCTTTCTTTTTAGATTTTTTCTTTTCCTCCTTCTTTCTTTTTTTTCCTTTATTCCTTCCTTCCTTCTTCCTTCCTTCCTTTCTATTTTTCTTTAAATATCTGTTCTTTTTTGTTTCTTTATTTATTTTTCTATGATTGTTTTAGATACAATTTATATGCTCGGCGTTACTAATTTCCGAATTCATCTATTTGCCAATACAGGATGGCCATAAAGTTCGTGTGCATTTTAAAAAAATTATAACTTTATTTATATTTGCGATAGAAATAATCTGTAAAAAATGTTATAAAGTTTAATGTACCTAGTTTTAAGTATAGCTAAAATAACTAATGTGATTTCAGGCATTACTGCAAATCAGTTGGCAAATGTTTTCCATGAACTGCAAAATCGTATTACCCTTTGTATTGCTAATGATGGAGGACATGTGGGAACAAATAAAATTTCAATAAAACCTTAAAAAATATAGATTTACTTCTTTCTAATCCTTTTTACAAATTATTTCTATCGCAAATACAAATAAAGTTATAATTTTTTTAAAGTGCCCACGAACTTTATGGACACTCTGTATTTTGACTACTTTCGAAAGACCAATGTTACTAAATTTTAAATTTCTCTATTTGCAACTATTTGGGGTACTTTTGAAGACCCGGCATCACTAAGCTTAGAATTCCAATGCTTGTCACTTCTGTTGATGCTTTTAAAAGACTAATAAATTTTGGATTTCACTATTTGCGTCTGTTAGGACCTGTTTTGAAAGCTTATTTTTTACTAATGTTTGAATTCCACTGATGATGACTTTGGGAGATAATTTTTGAAATAATCTGGACTAATCTGGCTGACATTTATAAGTACTAGTCTTTCAAATGAAGCATCAAAAGTCCCAGGTAACGAAATTCTGATTTTAAAATTATCAAAATTTGGTAACCATTCTTATAGTACCAATTTGTTTCAGCATCACATTTCTTACAAACGTATGGAACTCATTTTTTTAATCATTTCCTCCCAAGCAAAGTAGGTCTGCCACTAGTCTGCAGGGAGTTACAGGATGTAAAAGTGAGACAAAAGACTGAGTATAAGGAGGATTGAGGAAAGGACAAAAGATGAATGGATTCAAGAAGATAGAAGATGGTGATTGACATTGCATTTAAATTTTTTTTTATGTAGTTGTCAAAAAAGCAAGTAAATAGAATTCAGTTTCACAGGTGGGAAGTGTGATTAAAAACTGCTGGAGTAGAAGTGGTAATTTTGCATTTAGCTATTTCAACTGTAAATGGGGGGACCTAGATTGTAATCTAGTAACATGCAGAAAAGTTGCCATTAAAAATATTTTAGAAAAGACAGAGGGAAGCCATGTCAAGTTGGTGAGAAAATGATTGAGGTTACAAGTAATGAAATTCAAATTTCAATATATTTCTGTTTTTAAGGAGGGAAGTGCGAGAAAAGAAACGGTTGGAGTAGAAGTGGCGGATGCGTTTAGATATAGACGATCCATTAAAAGATTAGCTTTCAAGGAGACAGAAAATGGCGATTGACGTTGCATTTAAATTTTTTTTCCTATTGTAGTTATCATAGAAGCAAGAAATCGGAAGGGAGTTCCACAGTCGGGAAGTGCTGGAGAATAAAGTTGGAGTATGTTGTGGCCTTGTTAGGGCCACAAATAAAGACAGAAAGAGAGGAATTGAGTTAAACAAATATATTAACAGAAACAGTAATACAAACGAGAGTGTTACAGCAAGAATGTTCGGTCCGACTGTCATTGAGCTGACTGCTGGAAACTTCCCTTCCAAAAAAAAAGTACCTGCTCCTATTTATAACTCGAAGCGTCCATGCGTGTGGGATAAATTACTATAATAGATAGATAGATATATAGATAGATAGATATATATATAGATACCGAAGAGACTAGACCCCATATTTATAGATAGATAGATAGATAGATTGATAGATATATATAGATATAGATAGATAGATAATTTGAAGAGACTGTGATATTTTTGTGCCTTTTCCAGGTCCATTTAATATGTATCACGGAGAGAGGATTTTAGTTAAACAAATATATTAACAGAAACAGTAATAGAAACATATACAAATGAGAGTGTTACAGCAAGAATATTCGAACCGACTGTCATAGCTGACTGTTGGCAACTTCCCTCTCCAAAAGGCAGTACCTGCTCCTATTTATAGCTGCGAGAGTCCATGCGTGCGTGGATAAATTACGATAACAGAGTAGAAGTGGTGGTTGCATTTAGATATAGACGATCCATCGCTAAATATGGACGCATTTTCGGCTCATTGTACCGCTGCAGAATGTACCAGACTCCTTCTACCATGCTTTACTTTTACAAGAGTCATATATGACCAGAATATAGAGTATCACTTCATTGTTTGGGCTGGAGCTACACAATCCTCACATTTCAGTGTCGATAAATTTCAACGTCCCCTACCTGGTGTCATTGATGGGCAACAATCTGTAGCCTCTTTTCCACATCATAAGCGTGTCGATCCTCTATCGCCATTTCCATGACAAATGTTCAGTACTCCATTTTTTTTATTGTTTCACTAGTTCAGACCTTCACAGCTAAGAATCGTTATCCTCTGTCCACGGAACCGAATCACCCCCATTCCTCTTATATTCCAACTGGACGGAGAGGAGTTCACTCAGACAGTTGTATCTCCCAGGAACTGCTTCATTGCAGAAAAAGCTCCCGCGTGGACACTTTCCCGAACACTACAATAGTAATCTCTTCAAGTCAAGGGTCAATCGTTATCTATCCTCCATATCCTCATAGTCATCATCACTTACTTCCTCCTCTTACATACCCCTCATTCAGTAACCCTCTACTTTGAGTGAGCTTAGGGTCATATCATGTTGAAAACAGGCTCCCGTATGATCACTGAAGTTAAGCAATGCCGAGACTAGTCAGTACCTAGATGTGTGACCGCTGTAAGCTAGTATGGGCCGGTGGTGTAATGGATAATGACTCAGAATTGTTAATCAGGGAACCAAAAAGAGTCCCAATTCCAGTTGGGTTCGTTATATTCACCTATGTGCAAATACCCTTGGGAAAGGTATGAGTCACCCTCTTTTCCCCAGCTATGTGTTAATTAGTAAAGCTTGTATCACTAAATCATAATTATATCAAAAAATATTCTTACAGTCTAAAAATAGTTTCTGGCTTTAAATAACCTGCAAAGGGTTGATAAGCTGTAAAAAAACAAATCAACCATTTGAATACTGATTAGCTATACAGATATGCCTTTTAAATTTATTTAGATTTTCTGGGATATGAATGGATAGAATCTACCGTGGCCACAAAGTGAGTGATCAGTTTATGTATTGATTGTAATATAGAATTGATCATCCATTTTATATCCGCATTATAATTTCTTGTTTGTTTATTAAATTCTTATTAGTTATGAATCCCTTTCTTCTCCCCCAATGCCGATTTCGAATTCGAATCTATTACATTCCCTTACGTGCTAATACGCTTAGGAAAGGTATGAATCCTCTTCTGCTCTACAACCCCCACCCACCCACTCCAGCTGTGGGTAAGCAGCAGGACAGACCGGGTTCTATGGCTTTGGATAGCAACTGGTCTATCACAGAAAGAAATGGCAAACTACTACAGGAAAATCTGCCTCGTCAGTCATGTATCGAAAGATACATGATCGTCTAAGCGTATATCACGCATGGCACATACCTGAACTGATATTCACTTACGTG